GCCCCAGCAACGAACGCTCTCCATTCAAGAACATCCGTGAATGGGGCATCCAATTCACTAAGGGGGGGTCAATTTAGCGTCCCAATCACGAACGCACTGCTATATCGGACAAGACTGATACCTAGTGGAAGTCCAGTGAGAGTGACAGTGACAGTGACAGTGACAGTGACAGTGTCAGTACCAGTTTCGGTGTCGGTGCCAGTATCAATGTCAGTGTCAGTGGCAGTTCCGGTGCTGGTGGCAGTGTCGACGCCGACGCTCGTGGTTTCAGTGTAGTACCAGTGATAGTGCCGGTAGCTGTGCTCTTTTTTTTTTTTTTTTTTTTGTTCAACTCATTGATTACATGCAGACCGTAGTCTATGGTAATATCGCACTACCCCACAACTGCCCGTTCTCAACCACCGCCTCGCACAAGTACCCGTACTAACTGTCACACCGTCACACCCAAAACAAAAGAAAACAGAACAAGATAGCACAACAAGTTAGCTCGTAACAAAGTAAAATCGTTCTTCAATTGGCCAGTTCCCCTTCCTCATCCCTAAGTCTACCCCATCCTTGCTCCGCTTCTCTTTCTTCTTCTTCCCTTTCTTCATCTCTCTCGCCTCTTCCATGCCTCCATTTTGCAAATTCTTTCCAGATCGCGAGCGCACTCTCGATTCCCAACTTGGTCCGTGTCCGGTAGCTGTGCTTGTTTGATCTCGGGTTACCTAGAAATGTTAGAAAAACGATAGAGTATGCCGAGAAGAATATATTCGAATATAATATTCAATTATTTTACATTGGACAACCTACGTATAGAGATTTATATCTTCACCCACCGCTGCGTATTTATAGTCAATTCTTGACTGGAGGCCCTATTCGCGAACGCTCCGGTATATAATCGCGTTCCTGAATGGAGAGCATTCGTCGCTGGGATATAACTACATGTATGTAAGGTTAGGGGCCCTACTCAGGACTCGATTATCGGTGAACATAGGCTTCTCAAATACATTCTTCGAAACACGACGCACAATATCACCCGTTTAGTTTGTCTGATACACGAGCAAGTTGAATTTAGAACAATAGCTAACACCAATATACCTTGTGAGGTCCGCCCCCCGAATTCCCATATATCATTTCAAATTCCGAGCCTTTCACTTGCCATCTTTGCGCCCTCAACCCTAGCCTTGATCTTCTTAAACGCCACATCTCTCGCAATGTCTGGTCCACCATGCTTGGGTTTCACGTCGATGCTAAACGGACTGAAGCCACAATCATCTGTGGCACCAAGCCTGTGCGGTGGAATATATTTTGAGGCTGTCATCAAAGACTCACAGACATCCTCTGCAGTCTCGACGCGCGGCGATAGCGGATTGATCACACCAACAAAGACAACCTTGAGAATGAATGTTTAGCTTTCGAGCGAGCAAGATTCCGGGGGAGTCATCACCTGTGGAACACCATCTGCATCCTCTCTAGAATGTTCTCCGCATAGTTTATAGACCTTTTCTCTGTCCGTCTCACTGGCAATCTGAACCAGGAAGTAGCCCGCGTTCATCTGGAACATACTGGGCAAGCTATCTCCGGGAAAAATAATCAGTCCCGATCAATTAATAGTTGTAATGGGTGAGAATTACAGTTCACTGTAGTCAACATCGATACTGTGAACTGAGTCACAATCCCCACCTGGGCATGTGTGGACACCAATATTCTTGCGCTCCTCCGCAGAAAAGCGATCAAAAACACGGTTGTTTAGTTTGATGAAAGATTCGAGCATATTCCGACCAGTCCAGGGATTTCTGGGATCATTTCTCAACGCAAGACGTCCTGAAAGAATTATAAATAAAATAATCACAACAGTACTTGTAGCGAGTGAGACGCTATGAGTCGGCGAGGAGAATTGAAGAGGGGGGATATTACCTTCAGTGAAATCAACGGAAACTCTTTGAGCGCCAGCTGTATGAAATATTTGGTCAGAAGATTTCTAGGGTACGGACAAGGATGAAAAAAACCTTCGAAGCACTTTCTGATATCCTTCTCACATTCATCGACCAGGTCTGAGAGAAAATCTTCTCTAGAATAACCTGGCAAATCTTGATCGAGCGGGTATAGAAGACTTAACATGCTCGGTGCGATTACAGCTTGCTTCATGGGGTTTTTGGCATAGGCAAGCGACTTCTTGAGGTAATCCGCTGCATAGTTCTTGTAGCGGAAGGGACCCTTAACCAGTCGAGGAAGCTGACGGTGGTGCCCATCTTCAAAGATAGCACTGTGAAATAATAAGTAATTCGTGCTAGAATAAATAGGCCATTATGGTTCAAGCTTACAAATACTGCCCATCAGCAGCCAGAGTATCTGCAAGGCCAGTGCCACCCAGGGTATCGGTGAGAGGATATGTAGCGAAACTACTAGCACGCTGCTCTCCATCGGTCACCATTGACTGACCGGCTGCCTCCATAAGCTCGATAGACTCTTTGCAAGCCTCATCTTGAGCTTTTTGAAGCTGCTCAATGCTTGCCTACTTTGACTTAGCATAACAGACTTAATCACAGATATAGAGATATCCCCTACTTCTCCTTTATCACAGGCAGCAAAGACAGCCTGTAGTTTCTCTGGGCGGGGAAGAGACCCTACAACCTCAGTTGGGATGGGCATTCTGAATGGTTTACTGTTGATGTTTTAGGTTTAGAGAGGAAGTAGGTGCTGTTGAGATCGATTGAGAGAGATGAAGAACAATAGAGGACTTGGATGGGAGAACTTATACTCTATAAAGAGTACACGTATTGGTATTGGATAGATGTATTATGTATCCCCTCGCACTAAGTTCGCCCGAAACCTTGATATTAAATATATTAACAGCAAGAGTAATACCCGCGCTATGAGACAGGTACAAGATGCATGTGCAAGAAACCTATCTAAGGCTAGCTATTTCCTTCCAATGAAGAGTGCAGAGAATCTATTCAGGTCAATTCTGAAGTCAATTGGCCGTGGCAGATGTTGTCTCCAAATAATCTATTCTTGCATTAGTGCATGCACCTGACCGGTATCGTGGTGAACAAGTTTTGCCTGCCCCCGATCCACCAATCAACGTCGCGACTATGCATGCAAGGTCTAAGACAAAGTCTGTCTCTCTATCAGTCCACCTCTACATATCACCGCTTCTCAGTCGCCATCAATACCAAATGAAAAGGAGACTATGAAGGCGGATGCCCACATTGATCGAGATAACGCCAATTGAATATGATATGCATGAAAAGAACATGCTGAGCTGTTGGTTTCAGCCTTCATAATTGCATCCTGAATGTTGACACAGGAAGGAAATGTGGAGATTGAGATCCTGGTCAGGATACCTTTCTCCTCGGGTTTGCAATTAGAAGCAACAACTACAGTCGCACCTCGTTATGTCGTTAGCGTATTCTGGGAGCCCAACCCATACGAGATAGCAAATATACCAAAATATACGAGACAGCAAATAGGTTTATGTGGAGGAAGGCAGTACCTGTCCCGCAAACCCGTACGAGACAGCAAGAGATCCGAGGTATCGAATTACAAGATAGCGAGGTGCGACTGTACTTGTCCCGCAAACCCATACGAGACAGCAAGAGATCCGAGATATCGAATTACGAGATAGCGAGGTGCAACTGTATTTGCATACTTCCCTGCAATCTGTGGATTCGATCCCATTGTTCCCGTATTCTCACATAATTCAAGCAACACCTGTGATATGCAAGGTGCTACTCAATCATGCAGGCCGATAAACGCACTCCGCGAAAAATTACGGGCATACATACCTGTATGAACAGAACTTAACTCCCGCCATGTCGAGTGCTTCTGCGTGATGAGGCCTTGAGGGAGTCTACCGTACCACCACAAGCACATATGGGCGCTTCTAGTCTCCTCTCCGATGCTTGGCAAGTGAATACATGTTTGGCAATGAAGATTTCGACCGTCTAAGCCTTGGGGCTTTCCGAGCTTTTCCTTCAGCCCACTGAACACATTAAAGCGATTGCCGCAGCAATTACTCCAGAACAGCTGTGATTGGGAGAAAGGTCTAACACCGCCTCTACGGTAACGCCTGAGCGGATTCCACGATGTATTATCTGGCCAACACTATACCCCCGTTGGGACATATACCGCAATAATCATAATTCTCGCTTAGGCGAGGTGGAATATCACTTGAATAACCGTCAACTGCGGGGTAAGGTTAGCTTTCCTCAGGGTTTCATGCAACAAGGTGGAGCGGAAATAGATGTTGGTAACTCAAGATACCTAGTAAGCATCTAATGACTTTCGGCTGCAATTCTGATTCAGTATTTGACGTTGGTCTTCATGCCAGCGATTTCGCCAATCTTGACTTTATAAGGGATAGTTTTTTAACAGCGGCATATATATTTGTAAGTTTAAAATCGACAGAGACATTGATAAGATTAGGATGCACGGAAAAGTACTGCTTCCGATTCTTGGTATGAACGCGCGAATAAGTAAGCATTAGTAGTGCCGTTTCTCCTAATCTCAACTACCGCCGCCGTTCACGGGGTATCGGCGGGCCCTGGGTGTTGACAGGCCAAAAGAGAGACAACCAAGCCAAGTTTTGCCTGCAATCCGTCAACACCCAGGGCCCGCCAATACCCCGTGAACTTCAGTACTGCCATTCACGGTATTGGCAGGCCCTGGGTGTTGACGGACAGGCCCAAAGAGAGACAGCCAAACCAAGTTTTGCCTGCAATCCGTCAACACCCAGTACCCGCCAATACCCCGTGAACGACAGTACTAATAGTGATAGCTGAGACATCTCTGATTGATCAAGCCTTGTCAGCAAACGAAGGCGCGTAGGCCGAAACCGAATGAAGGCGAAAACAAAATAATACCTTGGCAATCATGACAGATTTCAGAGACCAAGCGAAACGAGTGATAGACCATGAACTCAGTCAGAAAATTGCTCACATAAGGTGTATTGATAACTGCTTCATAACCTCAGTTTGGCACTAAGAAGGCGTCACTGTTTTAAATATCAAAAGCAAGGCCCGATTCCGGGATCGAACCGGAGACCTGTCACAATTCAGGAGTTTCAAACCCTGGGGAATACCCGAAGCGACAATCATACCACTAGACCAACCGGGCTGTGATTTATATCTCGCTGTACAGTTGCACCTCGCTATCTCGTAATTCGATATCTCGGATCTCTTGCTGTCTCGTACGGGTTTGCGGGACAGGTACAGCCTTCCTCCACATAAACCTATTTGCTGTCTCGTATATTTTGGTATATTTGCTATCTCGTATGGGTTGGCTTCCCAGAATACGCTAACGACATAACGAGGTGCGACTGTATATAAATTTATGCAAATACTAGTGAAATGAAATGCTTCCCTAAAGCGATATCACCACTACATGTAGTTACTCATGTAGTAATAACATCTGTCTTTTATTACGTACCATTTCCCAGGACTATACTGTCCAGCGTGGGTACAGCTGGGCTATAAAACCACCCAAAATTTGAGGGTGCGACACCTTAAAAAACGAATATATATATGTATGTTTACTCAATTGACTTGACATCAAGAGGAGGCGGGGCAGGTTGACAGCGGAGCGGTTGACCGTATAGGTAAACCGTATCTCTTCCCTCATTCCTTTCTTTTTTTTTTTCGAGTCCTTCAGCTAGTACAAATCTACACAATTAGCCACGTCTTCCCCATCCTCCGATTTCCTATCAAACGAGGCTTCCCACCAACACGGCAGCTCGCTGGGGCGGGAACCGGTCGATTGCTTATTGATATGCACATGTCCGGGGGGGGGGGGGGGGGTGGCATATGCCCCAGTTTAACTCTAACACTAGTATGAATCAACTAAATGATGAAGCCAGCGGAAGCCCGGCAGCGTTCCAGATTGACCAGCACAGCCATAGACCGACGCCAAGAACCCACTTGCCAAGGCTGTGTAGAAGTGGCTGTGGGATAAATTTGATTCACTTCGTTCTAGATTTATGGAATTTGTAATTTAAGAAGCATGAAGAAGCATGAAGAAGCATGAAGAAGCATGAAGAAGCATGAAGAAGTATAAAGAAGCACACGGTATCGAGTGATGGGAACTGAACGGCCTCATGGCCGCTGCAAGCGCCAGTTATTCCAATATGCCGGTGCTGGAGGAGTGGGGTTGATCTGGTAGGTCAAGCTGAGCCACCAAGTGCAATGATAGATAGAAGAAACATATCGCATCTCCCAATCAAATATGGTAAAAAAATCACTGATGCTGTTTGATCCCACCGGTCGATACCGTACCGCCTGTATGTTTGGTTCCATAAAGATATTTAATTAGCCAATGACCGCGAGTGATGCTATATGACTGGGTCTGTATAGGAAAACCCCAGTTTTATAGAGGTTCCTCACTTAAAAGTACCCTCCCTACCTTCAAGAACTTCTGGCGTACTACTTTTATAAAGGCCTATAGCTCTATAATCAAATCAACTATCTAAGATACCTCTTTGAGAGCACCTAGGGCAGATTTTAACCGGATATACTTACCTGTTCTGTAACTTGTTTTTCCGCATCGTCGATGCGTACATGTATACTAATTGCACCTCTGACATGGGCACTCGAGAATCCTTTGCCTTTTATAATGGCTTATAAATGCGATTTATTGGATTCGAAAGAAATTGTGAAACATATCTCGTGGCGCCTGGTGATCGGATGATTAGATGTAGCATGCACGTTCACGCATGAAGTTAATGAGAAATATGTCTGGGCTAGGGTTTCTGTCAAGTGCATTTTATATCTGTTTGTAAAAGAAATGAGCACTGAGACATTATTCATTATTAGCGAATCATGTAATAGGCTTTATTAATAATCATGTTATACGATAACAGAATTTTCATGCTGGAAAGGAGATGCACAAGGGTTACCAGAGACCCACGAGCTTTCGTCGACGGGCTACAACAGATCGATGATGTAGTGACCCACGTTTTATTTACTACATCGTGTACCTCCATATTTGTATTCAAGTCAGGATTTCTTAACACTGAATGTACTTAAATGTGGCCATAATTGATTGTATTCACAATGGATTAAGCTACATGTAATTTCAATATAACTCTCTCTTCCCCGAAGAGTAGAGCCAAAGAAACTAAGATGAGCTCCACACCAACTTGCAAGTACGTAGATACACCACCCCCCAAAAAAAACCCCATAAGAAAAAACCCCCAACTCAAAGAAAACAAAACCTTTAGATGACAAAATAATGAGTGTGTAATGTGGTTGAATACATTTGGGAATAAAAGCTCTGCATTGTCAATCAAAGCGTGACAATAGCAAGAAAGGGTATAGTAAGTGAAATGATAAAGTGAAAATAAACCTCGAACCCGTATAAATGCAACCGCGTAAAAAAACCCAAGTAACCCTCCCTTTATATCTTTCTGGAAAGCAAAGGACAACTTAAACAGTAATCCCAACTCCCACGGCAAAACGTCCCAAGAAGGGCATCTATCCATTCTTGGCCTGTTTCTACCTCTCTTGTTTCTTTGCCATTCTACTTTTCTCCATCCCCCAGTCCCGATATTTAAAACGAATGTTACTCCTGTTAAAGAAGAAAATAGACAAAAGAAATTACTCGCACTGAAGAATAACAATAAGTAAATCAAGATAAATGGACAGGTCCCGTAAAGGGTGCATTCCCGCTAATGGGTAGAAAGATACACGCATCTAAAAAGGAATAAATTATTAAACAAAAATTTAAGTAGGTCAAGTAGAAAAAAATAAGGACAAAAGGAAAGCATATCAAAAAAGTGCCCTACACTAACCCCGTCCCATCCGAATCATTTCCATGATTATTGTGAGGTTCTCAAAATGCTTTCGTAAGATAGTCCCTAATAGTTTCCCTTTGGCTGTGGTAGTTGGTGCCGATGTTCGTCATATTGTACAATGTGATCTCGGTCGCCATAGGCTATAGGTGCTGCGGCGCCCATTAATCCCACGCCGGAAGAGCTCTGGCCACTTGCAGATCGTCCGTGCAGTGTGTGTTGCGGAGCGGGTGTCATATGATGCAATGGGAAGGTGCTGCCTTGACCGCTAGCATCGTTAAAATTGAAGGAATCATGGGTTGGGGTTTGAGAGTACCGACCCTTTCCATCAGAGGCACCACGGTACAGAGGGTCTCCAAGGAGAGAGTTGCGAGGATTAAGTGGGGTAAGATCGGCGTCGCGCTGCTTCTCCATTTCCTTCCGTTTCCTGATGTGGGGGTTTTCTTTACAAGTTACGTAGATTGCGTTGACGGCGATACAGATAGCAAGTGCGGCTGTGAGAACGGATTGAATGACAATCAAAGCAACACCTAGAGCTATCAGTTTACGCCCCAAAAATTCGACTTAGAGCAACTATACATACCCGTAACGGTTTTGGTGTCTGCAGCAATCCCCAATTCTTCTACGAAGATAATAAGACATGCAACAGATAGTACACGAACAACAGCAATTATGGTGTTCAAAACATTTCCTGCCTTTGTGTTGTAAGGACGATTCCAGAGCAACAGAATCAACAAGAACACCTCGCACCCTAGTTGACCGGCAGTTTGGATAAGGCCGTGACCGTCACCAAGCGCAATGAATGCACCCTTGGCAAAGGCGTAGATGATCAACGGCAAAAATACCCACCAGAAACTTGACTTGAACTGATCGTAAAACAACCCGTAGCGGCGCATATAATCCTTGTGTTCAAATAATTTCTCATACGACGGCTTTTCCCCAGTTCCATTCAGGGTCATATTATGCATGCGTTCTGCATCAGCTGCCTTCTCTGCCCGTGCAAGCCTGAAGATCTTGACCGCAAAGAAAGCAAGAACACCAGTGAAAACGGCGAGAGTTACTCCAGCAAGTAAATGTGCACCCCAAGAGTCGCCATTTCTGAATTGATACATGCAGTATAGAGTCCACGTTCCGTAGAGAATAAGAACCTATGAGAATAGCTTGTTAGACGCTGTCCCTTATAGTTATGTCTAGTTGTGGAAAATAGACTTACAAGTCTAACAATGGTAATCGCCAAAAACTCCCAGTATCTCTTGCGGAACCCGGTCAATGCCTTCGGGAAACTTGCAAAGAACGACCAGACTTCCAAAATGACCTTGAACAGTAGAATGCAAACGGCAATTGAAGCAATGACAATGCAGAAAATCAGCAAAACTGTCATGAAAGTGTTTGCCGAAGGGATTTGTAGTTTTTCGACATAAGCTTGAATTCCATCAACATAGTGCATGACCTTGTCTTGTGCCGTCTCGGTAGAATTTGTGGTGGTTGTTGCATCAGCGCTTATGGTTGTACCGTCAACATCAACATCACTACGGCGGAGTAATTCTCCGACTGCCCATTCCAAACTACGGCGGGTGGTGGTGCTGTTTGTGCTGTTTGTATTTTCGGTGCTACTGTCTGAGCTGTAAACCAAAGTAGCATTCAACAGATAGTCGATGGACATTTTATCCAATTTACCACCAGTGTCGGCGCGGAAAGTATCAATCGACCTTTGCATGGATTCCCAAGGAATAACCCCGGTAGACCATGCGAAATTGCTTGCGAAAGACCTGTAAACAGGGGGATAGCTAACTGACATCATGCCGTTCATAGCAATGTTTTGAAACCAAAACATGACGTCTCCAAAATTCGGTGATGGACCTGCACCAGATCCTGCTCCCGCAGCTCCAGCAGCTGAAACACCAGAAAGCACAAGAGCCGCCGCTGCGATACCTGCAGTAACATATTTTACACCAGTTTGATCCGCTGTTTTCCCATTTTGTACCACTGACTGAAGGCATGCGAGTGATGTGTCATCGTCATTAGATCTCAACTCCAGCTTTGCCATACCATCAAGATCCGGGACTTGGAAAGCGATTGCTGGAATCATAGAAGCGTAGCTATCTGATATTGTCATTGTATCCTTGGCAGCAAAGCTTCCCTGGGGCACTATAGTAATTGGGGCGCTTTATCAGCATACCATAATTACAAAGGCAGTAACAAGTGATGCTAGTATTGGGGACTTACAAGGACAGAGCTGGGTAAGATTCTTTTGACAAGGGTCGAACTGGTTTCTATAGACCTCCTTCCCATAAGCTGTGACTGTCAAAATTGCTGTCACCTCCTGTTGTCT